GATACTTGCAGACTAACAAGATATTTACAAGGCTAATCACTATTCCAGATGTTAAAGTATTACAACTTTTCATCCTTAGCTCATTACTTTTAATTCTAATTGGTATGCTTTTATATTGTGAGTTATAAATGCCAGAGGTACTGAATATCATCCCCTAAAATTATTTTTAGCTGTTTATCGAGCCATGAAAAAATAAACAGATTGTACTCACGTATTAACTGTTTTGGAGTCAATAAAAGTTTACACGCAATTTATTTTATATTTATTTTTGACGTATTTTAATAATAACAATATTTACAGATGAAAACAATATTTGATAGAAAATGTTGGCGTAGCGACAATCGTGGGATGTTTTATTATTGACGGGACACAACTGCCTGACGCTCATATCAAAACCCAAATTTCAACCTTACTCCAGAGTAATTAAGGGCGAATATTGTACTCTTATATCGTAGCAACTTTAGCTAGAACAGATTGAGTGTTTGTTTATGTATCAGTACCGGCGTGTGTGTGTGTGTGTGTGTGCTGAGGTACAGTATGTGTGTGTGTGAAGGGGGGGGATATTTGCTGTGTGAATATGGGTGACCGGTAAAAAAAAAATAAGAAAAGGTAAAACAAAATTAGATTAGGTTAAACTAGGTTAAGTTAGGCTAGGATGTGTAGGATTGGTTAGGTTAGGATAGGTTACGTTAAGACAGGTTAAGTTAGGAGACTTTTCCGCAGTGATTTTTTTAACCTAGCTTCACACATACGAGACTTCACGTCCCACTGACTGAATGTATGCGTTATTTTGACTCGAACGAAATTGGGATCTTGCATTGATCGTAATGACATGCCACATACTGTATTATAGCGTTTATCACTTGTAAACATAATTGAATGGTATTGGAAAGGCTAGTTTTTTTATTGTCATGCCTTAGTATATCTTATCTTCAAAGAGACTATTGTTTATGTTACGTGTGATAAAGCAAAAGCGTGTGCAAATTTGAAAAAAAAATATTTGTGCCTTTAACAACCGGTCCATTCTCCCTCCTTTTCAATGATCGCCTGCACTCTTACAGGCATGTTGGCAACCCCATGAAAGGCTGAAAACTAAACTTTAAGGGTACAAGATTCGGGGAAATGTCCTGGCGTGGGTAGAGGACTTTCTACATGACCACAAGCAGTGTGTGGTGGTTAATGGCACGAAATCATCAACAATATCCGTAACAAGCGGGGTACCACAGGGCAGTGTATTGAGCCCGCTGCTGTTTGTTTGTTTCATAAATGACATGCCTGAAGCTGCAAATTCCTCCATACAAATTTTTGCGGGCGACGCCAAGTTATTTCGGCAAATTAAGAACCAAGCGGACTGTGAAGAGCTGCAGAAGGATCTCAGTGAGCTTCAAGAACGGTCGAAGAAATGGCTGCTGAGATTCAATGTCACGAAGTGTAAGAGGCTGCACCTGGGACGTACCAACGGTAAGGAGGCGTATCATATGTCCCAACGGAACGAAGAGACTGCATTAAATGAAACGGAATGTGAAAAGGACCTAGGTGTGTACGTTGACAATGAACTGAAGTTTTCGGGCCATTGCGAGAAGAAGGTAAACCAGGCAACTAAGTTATTAGGTCATATAAGAAGGTCGTTCAGATATCTAGATGGTCCGTCCCACGGAACGATATTTAAGAGTGAAGTGCTTCTCCGCCTGGAGTATTGTCATCCCGTCTGGTCCCCGAGATATGCTAGGGACTGTCAGCTGATTGAAAATGTCCAAAGGAGGGCCACCAGATTGGTGCCTGCACTGCGGCACCTCAGCTACCCGGAGAGATTGGAGCGCCTGAACTTGCCTAGCTTGTACTACAGACGGGCAGGGGGAGATCTGATTGAGGTGTACAAGCGTCTCAGAGGGCACTACTCAGTCAAGTGTCCTTACCTGGAGCTGGCGGACGCTCGCTCCACAAGGGGACACAACTCAAGGTTAAAGAAGCCACAAGTCCGGATAACTGTGAGGGGTAACTTTTTCGGAGTGAGAGTTGCGAACTCTTGGAACAATCTGCCAGAGAGTGGTGACGGCACCGAGTGTGAGGTCTTTTAAGACCAGACCTGATCAACACTGGAGCAGGATCAAATACATTCAGGAGCCAGTGCATGCCCAGTACTTGCCAACAGTGCGTAACAGAGACGTAACCGATCGCCCAAGCGGCTAACGAGCCGATCAGTGGTGAAGAGGATAAAAGTAAATGTAATATGCCGCCGGACGAGGCGTGAGGTTTGGCCTGGAAAGACTCTAACACCGAGTGGGTGTGATTCCTCAGTTCATGGGCAGGCACCCAGGTGTTAACCAAAGAGGCCCATATATTGTCAATGGGAATGCAGTCTGCACTCGAAGTTTGCAGCACTGAACATCACGGTTCAGGGTGGAAAATTAATTTAAGTTTAAATAAATTAAAAAATTTCAATGTTTTATAATAGGAAGAGTGCTCAGTATGTGTCCTTATTAACAATACGTTTTCACACGAGAGACTTTTCAAAGTAAACTTGTTATACACACCATTGCCTTGGCTAGGAGTAAAGTCAGCGATAGATGTTATTTTTTGGCGCTGTAAATCATTGGTACAATAAACTCATAAATGTTACCCGTCTTATGACTAAAAAAATCATAACCATAAAAAGAAAGAAAACAAAACAAAACAGATATCAAGGTTTTAAGAAAAGATCATTGAATGAATTCTCTCTCTCTCTCCCTCTCCCTCTCCTCCCTCGCCAAATTATGCTATATATAGCAGCCTACCTCACGACTTTTTCGTAACCTTCCATTAACTTGTTTTTTGCTCTTTCGAAAATTAGCGCTGTCCAGTAATGTGTGTTCCTTTGAGGGTAATTAGCTAAATAGGCACCAGTCCTGATAGGCTCCATTCCTAATAGAACCTATTCCGTCCTAAAAGACTTCAGTCCTAGTAGGCCCCATTCTTGATAGCCCCAGTCCTAATAGAACCTTCTCCATTCATAGAGCCTCAGTTCTAATAGACTCCAATCCTAATAGGTCCTATAGTCAGGGTAGGCCTCTAAGCCCTAATAGAGCCTAGTGGCTCTAGTGTCTAGTCCGTCTTAATTTTAGAAAACGTATAGTGTGAACGTGTACAGTATATACAGTACAGTACACAGAGAACGTTTTCGAAAATCTCATATTTTATGCCGTCTGATAATTTTAAATAGGAAGCACCGCCTGGGCCAGTATATAAAAGATATCCTTCACATTTTTCTGTGTTCTAAACCAGTTATAGACGGCTACATCGAATCCCACTCCAGCCTGATTCAAATACATTGTTTTTTTTTCCAGAAATGTATTGAAAACTGCAATAAAAAAGCGATAGACGACTCTGATAAACTAAATTTTTACCTGGAAATTTTAAAAATGTATTGTGGCTAGGATAGGATAGGTTTAGATTAGATTAGAACCGTTAGAGTTTCTTAGGTTATGTTGGTTTAGGTTGAAAAGTAAAAGTGGGTTCCATAGGCATGACTGCTCGTTAGGTCAGAATCCATCTAAATTTGTAGATAATACGTACTGACAATTTAGCGTAAAAAATTGCTTCGAAATTGCCCCCAGACTATACCGTACGTAGCCGGATGCACTACATGTGTCGTCTCCAAGGCCTTGGTGGCGATTTTTATTGACACATTGATGACTAACCAATTAACCGATTACGTAGTAACTGGTGTAATTATCCTCGTAATTGAAGCTATATGAACACACTGATTGACTTAAGATAAAACACAAAAATTAACCCCCCAAAATGACAACAAAATTACACTGAGACTCTACCTTAACTTGATACATTTATTTAATATTAATCAAGAGAAAAGAAAATAAGGTAATTAATATATTGGGAAATATGGTATTAACTTTGTATACTTAGCTGATCGTAAAGTGAATACCAAGCCCGGTTAGGTACTAAACCTAAATTTCTCACAAGAAGTTTTACACCAATTTTTGGTATCAGGAAGCTACACAAATGTATTGTGTTAATTATCGCACAAGCAACCGGTAATTTGGGATCTTTAGCGGTATGTCTTAACACCTTACTCTAGTCTTTCACTGTGTGCTGAGGTGCCAGACAGGACTTAAGTGGCAGAGAGTCAGAGGATCTCCGCGTACTGACTGTCTAAAGGCGCTAATTTTTAACATTCAATCTAAAAATGAGAATTCAGTAAGACATCTAATTTCTTATAGGTCATGTTTGTCATATTTACTGAGATATATAATATCACGATTCTGGTGTCTTACAATATTTCATTTATGCACCAAAAATCTTTTGATATTCGAGGTAAATAAATATCCAGGGCAATACCACATTTAGTGTAAGAACCATCTCTACAATATTCGTCGTTCTAATAATAATAATAACGCTACACCAATTTGGTCACATTATATAAATTAAGGAGTAAAAATTCTGACTCAATTTTATATAAAATAACACTTATCTCGTGTACTCCAATGTATGTTAAGTGACTAACCTAGTGTATATTATGTATCACTCACCTAGTGTATATTATGTATCACTCACCTAGTGTATATTATGTATCACTCACCTAGTGTATATTATGTATCACTCACCTAGTGTATATTATGTATCACTCACCTAGTGTATATTATGTATCACTCACCTAGTGTATATTATGTATCACTCACCTAGTGTATATTATGTATCACTCACCGAGTGTATATTATGTATCACTCACCTAGTGTATATTATGTATCACTCACCGAGTGTATATTATGTATCACTCACCTAGTGTATATTATGTATCACTCACCGAGTGTATATTATGTATCACTCACCTAGTGTATATTATGTATCACTCACCTAGTGTACAGTATATTATGTATCACTCACCTAGTGTATATCAAGTAACACACACGTAGACCCCACGTAATGGTATACCTGTCACAGACACCCATTTAACAATACCTCAACTCCCTAAGAGAGAGAGAGAGAGAGAGAGAGACACTCACCTGTGTTTGTGTGTGTAAATGCAGGTCTGCTCGGGCCAGAGACGCGGCGAGAGTGGCTGTCTCCCACAGATGTTGCTCTTTATATAGCCTGACCTACTCCCATACCTCCCTTCCTCCCTCCCTCTCGTTCGTCTGCGCAAAGGTAACTGCGCCTTAATTTCGCCCACTTAACATTAGCTAGTGAACACGTATTTATCCTTTTTAGATAGTTGATGAATGTAGGTGTAGAGGTTAGTATCAAAATAAGAGCGTTGTTCAAGCAGGTCAACTACTGTAGGTGGATATACCTTTGGATAGCTCAGATTGTTAGGTGTGAAAATATATCTTTTCTAAATTTTACTGTATCGTTGACACTTTCTTTTTGGTTTTTGACTGGTATTATATGTAAAATAGGTGATGTATATTGTTATTATTATTATTATTATTATTATTATTATTGGTAGTAGTAGTAGTAGTAGTAGTAGTAGTAGTAGTAGTAGTAGTAGTAGTAGTAGTAGTAGAAGTAGGATTTTTGATCCCATGGCCGCATGTCACCGTAACCTAGCTCTCGAGGCTGCACATAGGAGGAACGAGAACGACAAGAGAAGGGCATATGGAGAGAGAATTCAAAACGTTGATCAAGGCAGCTTCACTCCTCTAGTGTTCACAACCTCTGGTGGGATGGGCCCAAGTGCAAGATGTTTCTACGCCAGACTCGCGGAGTTGATCTCCGAACAGAAGCAGCAGCCCAGAAGTTATGTTACAGCCTGGATGAGATGTCGACTGTCTTTCTCTCTCCTTCGGTCGGCTTTGCTCTGCCTCAGGGGAACGAGAGCTTCTGCCCCTACTCCGACAACTGCTGCAGATGTTGACTATGAGGCTACAGTCACTGAATGCCGCATAGATCTGCGGCTCAACTAATTTAACACAGATAGGATAGCTTCTTATGTATTAGGATATTTAATATTAAGGTAAATAAATGGTGGCGAAGGTGTGGCTATTGGGGGAGGCTGGAGGCCACGTTTAAAAAAAAAAAAAGTAGTAGTAGTAGTAGTAGTAGTAGTAGTAGTAGTAGTAGTAGTAGTAGTACCATTGCGTCCTGCCACACCACATGACTCCTGGGTGAACGACCTAACATTCAATCTGAACTGTTGCTTTATCCCACGGGTTCTCAATTAGGGTCAAATTATCCCCGTGGGGATAATTTGAAATTTTTTCAGGGGAAACGCAATTGAATACATGATTATGAAAAAAATCGGATCAACTCCAAACTGTCCGCCAAGACATGGTACCTGGTTTCTACTCAGGGTTATGGACAAATAAACAAGTGTAGCTGCTCGTAAAAAAATGTGGGAGTCATGAGTACAGTAATGTCGTCATGTGTGTTTCTGGGTAACAGTTAAAATTACTTGAGAAGCCCGGCTGTAACCAAACTTAACGAACATAAAGTGAAAACAAACATCTGTCCAAATAAATAATACCCTATTGTAGTGATAATATATTAGTGCATCATATCTTCATATATTGTTTAATCAAATTTATTAAGATAGTTACATTACGTACGAAATATATATAAGTGTATACAATCAACCGCGTAAAAATATATAATACAATGTTCATATATATGTGTTGAAAGAGTCTGTAATGTTGTATATCTTGGAGTACCGAGTGACGTCAGAGAGGCGGGAGGGTCAAGGTCACTGTGTGCTTGTTTATGTGTCTCTATGTGTTATTCAGTCATGTGTTTTGTTTTTTATGTGCCATTCCTTCAATCTCAAATGACCAAAAATACATCTCCAACTCAGCTGTTATCTGTCACACTGAACTGATAATCTCTTAGTTGACCGTTCTATAAAGTTAAACCAAAGTCTCTAAAAGTCTCTCTGATCAAGTGATTATCTCTAACACACTGTAGTAATTATCTCTCAGTCGGTTATGTATCTCTGAGAGTCATCACAGTATCTCCAGGTGTCAGCCAAAGTTAGGTTTGACCACGTCACTTGAGGTGGTAGGAGGCGGGGGATCGTTACGGGTCATTATTGACACTTTAACGAGGTCATTATCTCCCCTGATCTGTTACTGCTGCTGCTGCTGGTAGATGTTAAAATAGATGGAGAGAGAGAAAAAGAGAGAGGGAGGGAGAGAAATTGAGAGGGAGTGTGAGAAGGTCTGTGATATTCTGTACGTATGTGTGTGTGTGTGTGTGTGTGTGTGTGTGTGTGTGTGTGTGTGTGTGTGTGTGTGCATCGAGTAACAGAGAGAATGTAAGAGAGAGAGAGAGTCGCACTAACAGTTGTCCCTCTGGCGGCACATAAGGGCACTACGCATTTACGTGACCCAATCGTCGACCTCAGCCATCAAGCTGAAAAATACACTTAATTAGGGAGGCTGGTGGGGAGGGAGAGTAAGGGAGAGTGGGAGAGTAAGGGAGAGGAGGGAGAGTAAGGGAGAGTAAGGGATATAAAGCCTTAGTGAGGGAATAATTAGCTAAAGTAGTATTAAATTACACACACACACACACACACACACACACACCTCCTTGCCGCCTCTGCCTCTCGCATGATATATAAAATGAGTCGCCATTGTGGGAAAATTAACCCATAAAGCTATTTATTGTGACAGACAGTTAATGAAAATATATTACAGGTTGAAGTCCCGGTGGTCGATTGTCAAGCTTGGTTGTCAAGGTATGTTGTGTCTCCTCCCTATCCCACTCACCCCCCCACTACAAATTCCTCCCCATCCAACACACCTTGTTATCCCCACATCACTCCTACTCACTCCAAAATTCCGATCCTACTCCCTATCACTCCAAAATCCCCATCCTTCTCACTCCCTCTCACCCCAAACTCCCTATCCGCACACGTTTGAGTTTAATAACACGTAACAACTGCTTGCAATCTTGACTCCTGAGAGAATCGCGTAGAATGTTCCTAACCTAACCTAACCTTACATAACATAACCTAACCTAGCATAACCTAATTTAACACCTAAGCCCACACACCATCCCATACAGCCCACTCACCGTATCATGCAGCCCACTATCACATACCTTCACCTCTCTATCCAATGCCTCAACCCACTCACCATCCCATACCTGAGCCCACTCACCATACCACACAACCCACTCACCATCTCACACAACCCACTCACCATCTCACACAACCCACTCACCATCCCACACAACCCACTCACCATCCCACACAGCCCACTCACCATCCCACACAACCCACTCACCCTCCCACACAGCCCACTCACCATCCCACACAACCCACTCACCATCCCACACAGTTCACTCACCATATCACACAGCCCACTCACCATCCCACACAACCCACTCACCCTCCCACACAGCCCACTCACCATCCCACACAACCCACTCACCATCCCACACAGTTCACTTATTATGTTAGATGCCATCACAAGATTGTTATCTTAATTTAGCCTTTAGCATAGTGTACCTAGGAATGGGACATTAATAGTCTCATAACTACTTGTAGGATTACGGATACTGCGTAGGAGGTCTGCCGGTATTGCGTCACGGACCGTCCTGCTAGTACCCCAGACTCTCTTAAATGAAAACCATATGAATACATCACGCGAGGATTATTCACACCTCGTGATCGTTAGTCTACCCTCTCCTCTCTGGCGCTTGTACCGAGCGTTCTAGGCAGTTCTTAACAGGCCGTGACCCAGTAAAGACATATAGCCGATTACTCAAGGCAGGATTATAGTCACGGCAGTCTCTGTATATAATATAGAATATACTCTGTAAGAAGGACAGTCACAGACTCTACTTCACCCCTTCAGTTTACAGAGTGAAGACGAAATTTGTGTCAGAGTGTATATAAAAGTGGACCAATGTTGAAACCCCATGACCAGTGCTGAAGAACAAATACTAGAAAAGCCGCTTGACCCAGATTCATTTCCACATTAAAGGACCACTGATTATAATTATCCCACATATCCCTCTCACTATCTCACACCTCAGCCCACTTACCATCCCACACAGCCCACTCACCATCTCACACAGCCCACTCACTATCCCACACAGCCCACCCACCAAACCATACCTCTCCCTCGGTCAAGGCCAAACATATTCACTTATCAGAAGTTTGTCTCTTTATCAACCCTCCTCTTTCCCCTCACCTCTCTGTACCCTCCCTCCTTCCCCTTCTCTCCCACAATTAAACAATTACGCCAGTATATTCCTCCTCCCATCCCCTGCACTCCCATCCCCTCCCGTTCCCTTAAAAAATGGACAAGGATGCAGGAAAGTGGGTACGAGTTCAGTAATTGGTCGCGCCTCAGTGGCCACTTGTCAAGGATTCTGCTTCACAACATCCACTTTAGGACGACACACGGCGGATGTGACTAACGCTCATTTGTTTATGATTGTTGATATTAAGCTGGACTAGAATTCTCAAAGGGTGGGACGTTCACTTTTTTCCTCGGTGTGGGTAGGAGGGAGAGTAAGCTACGCCACATAGTTGAGGGATCATAATTCTCTCAGCTCCAGGAAGGCACAAATAAATATGGCTGGAACCTTTGAGTATCCAGGCCCTGTTTGTTATGGTTGTCCCCCACGTTGTTGTATATTTGGTTCAGTATAGCGAGTTTACGTAATGTTGTCGTAAACAGAGTAATATTACTGAGTTAATATTTGACTATTGCAGAAAAAAATCTCTTCATCCACGTAATTTTATTTTGAAACTTTAAAGTAAACGGAACAAATCCACAAATCCCAAATCCGTGTTTATCAGTTGAGGAACCCGGTGACTTTAGCCTCGGTGTATACCTCTACCTGGAGTACTCTAAATATAAGAGACATTATTGGAAACTTTACTATTTCTAACTTTTCGTAGAATCGTAAAAAGAACACATTTAAGATGAGACGTTATGTTAAGATTCATTCAAGCTGGTGATGCAATTATGTGTGTGTGTGTGTGTGTGTGTGTGTGTGTGTGTGTGTGTGTGTGTGTGTGTGTGTGCAGCTGGAGACGTTAATGAGATATCACTAGGTCAAAATATCAGTGTTTTGCGAACTTCAATCAAAACAAAGTGTAAACA